TTGTTATATATAACCGAGGTTAGCGCGGTCCCGCGCTGGGCACCGGGAGTGCCCTCCCGCCCCTCTCAGGGGCCGCTGTCCCGCTGCCCCTTCCTCAGGGACACCCGGGTCCCCTCAGGGCACCGCTGTCCTCCCACCCCTTCCTCAGGGACACCCGGGTCCCCTCAGGGCACCGCTGTCCTCCCACCCCTTCCTCTGGTGGCTCAGGGCACCTGGGTCACCTCAGGGACCATTATCCCAACTCCGTTCCTCAGGGACACCTGAGTCCCCTCCAGGACCACTGTCCCACCATCCCTTCCTCAGGGACACCCAGGTCCCGTCAGAGGCTGCTGTCCCGCCGCCCCTTCCTCAGACCAAGAACTTCATCTAAAGGCGATGCAGTTCCCATCAGAACTGCATTTATCTTCCAAAAAGCACGGCAAATTGAGGTGACAGAGAGGGGCAGGAGTCCCCGAGAGAGGAGCAGCTGCAGGGGCAGAGCCTTCCCGTCACGGATCCTGCCAGGGATGCTCGGGGTGGTGCTCGGGGTACGCGGACCCTGCTCCCCGAAGGATGACCCCGTGCTGTGCAGCCCTTCTCCTCCTCCAGCTTTGGGGGTTTTTTTTACAGCTCGATCGGTTTCTGAAGGCAAGAAATCAGGCAAAAGCTTCTGGGGAATGTTTGTCCCGGGCTGTAGATCCTGGAAGGAAAGCACTGCCTTCCTGGAGAGCCGAGGGGATGAGATTTAAACCCAGCCCTCGGGTCCTGCTGCTGGGCAGCTCTCTGAGCAAGGGCTGCTTGGTTTGGATTCCAAAGGGCCAAATGCAGCACTGGATTCTCCTGGATCCTTTCCATGGCTCTGGAGACCTTACAACACTTGTCCTTCAGCGTCTGCATGGTTTGTGCAATCCAGGCCCTCTCTCCTGAAACTGGGAACGTCAAATCTTCCCTTTCAATAAAGAAGTTCTGAGCCAGCCTAAAAAGTTTAGGATGTGCTGTTGCAGTCCTGATCCTGAATCCTTCCCATAAATCCCACTTGGCAGTGGCTCCAAAACAATTTGAAGCCTGACTGGCACGCGATATTTAACAGGTCAAAATAATTTTCAATCAAATCTGACAAAATGCAAAATACTGTGAAAAAATCAGACTTTGGTGTAATGCAAGGCTGAAAGACAGTGTTAGCCCTGCCTGGGAATTCTGCTATGGATTCATCTGGAATCATGCCCTTTAGGTAACTCTGTGTTCTCATCATCATTCCCAAATATGCCATTAAATAAAACATTAGGTGCTGAGTATGGACTTGCTCGTGGGACATTCAGTTTTCCTATGAAATTGCTGCAGACACCCCTGACAGGAACCTCCTGTGCTGTTTTATACTTCTTTCCAAACGGATAAATGTTCCTTCTGTATTTCCTGGGCAGTTTGCATATGGATATATGGATATATTTCCATATATAAATACTTGTGCCTGGCTGAAGAACAAGCTGGCAGCACAGCAATTCCCTGCTGGAGCTCTGCAATTCCCTAGGAAAGAGACTGTCAGCAGGAAGGGGTTGGTGCAGATCCCCTTCCCAGCTGAATATTTGTGAATATTTGTGAACTAATTTGGGTTGGGGGAAGGGAAAGGGATTTTCCTCCCCCGCTCTCAGCCACCTGACTCCTAATATAGGAAGGAGAATAGTTGGTTTGTTATAGAGAAGTGAAATTCCTCCTTATTTCCTCCCAGCTCTGGATGAGGAGCTCACTGTAACCACTCTCTGCAGTCTAATTCCCCTTTTTCTTTGCACACTCTGTGAAAACAAGAGGAGAAAAGTGCTACACGTGGTCACTTCCTTCTTTTCTGTCCTCCACTGGAAAAAAAATGACAAGAATTTCCTGGAAGGAATGTGCTCTATTAGGTGAAGGCAAGAGACAGAAATGTTGGGGTCTGGGGGTTTTCGGTTTGTCTGGGTTTTAGTAATTTTTTTAAAGAAGGCAAATTTCCTATTGGTTACTATATCACTGGATCCCATAAAACCAGGATGATTTTATCATGGAATTCAATAATGAGCGTTGTAATTTAATCCTGACATTATTAGCCCACTAGCTGGTGAAACTGGTAATTGGAAACAGGACTGGAGACAGTCTCCAGCCTGGAAAGGATCTTTCATGTTCAGGTAAAATGAGACTTCAGGGCTTTTCTCTCCTGTCAACAACTAGCAGAGAGATGCCAAACGTGGAATAATCCCTGCCTTGCTGGTTGCTCTTTGTTTTGTCCCTTCTTTTTCCTTTAGTGAGGATCCTCTAGGAAACAGCAGCTCGTGGAATTGTTGAAACAGCTGCACTTTAAAATACACTTTAGATAAGAAAAGTCTTAGTTTGTGCCAGCTGAAGATCCCAGAAGTCAAAGAGGGAAGCTTTCAAAACACTGATGTAGCATTTCCCATCCCAAGCTGTCCTGGAAATCAGAACTTAGGAGGAGGTGAAGGGTGAAGGTAAAGCCAGGTAATCCTGTGGCTAAACTGCAGCACTGGATTAAACTGGACTAGAAAGTCCCATTTTACAGGTGGATGTTTCTCTTCACAACCTCACCTGGACACAAAACAGTGCAATACCACAACTCTGGTTTTGATATTAGAAGTCAATTAAAAAATTCCTTATTTTCTTATTTCCAACAGTGAGAGCCCCCTGTTAGGGTGGGAAAGGCAGGACCTGTGGCAAGGACAGCTCGCCCTCCTCTCTCTGCAGTTCCAGCTTTTCCTGCTTAAAAAACTGGCTCAAAACTGGATCCAGGGGGAAAATGCTGGTGGGAAACACAGAGGAGGAGAGATGGAAACCTGCAGTTTGGGGTGAGAGAGGGATCCCCCCTTCCTGTGCCAGTGGGGAGTGAGAGCAGTGATTGTAAACTGATTGTAAACTGATTGTAAAATGACTCCCTCCTTTGGGACCTGCTCTGGAATTGCTGCTTTGGCCTCCACTGCACTAAAAATCCGTCATGAAAAGCTGCAAGAATTCTGAGCCTGGAAATAAAACAATCCTGTGACCCAGATATTCAGTGGAAAAATGAATTACTCACTTGTTTTCTTCTCTTTTTGGACACTTTTATCTTTGGCTTTCAGATATCCCTGGGCTCTGAGGAACTCACACTCTGGGAGGGTTTACAGATGATAGTGGGAAATAATAATGGAAAGAAAAGTGATGTTTTTCTTCGAACCTACAAATACTTTCATAAATGTACAATTATTTCCTGCCAAAAGGACCTTCTCCCTCCTCCCTGGGAGGCTCAAAGAAGCCCCCCCAGCCTGAATCTGTATTTTAGCTGAAAGCTTTCTAGGTAGTAATAGTACAGAAGTAGTAGTAATACCTACTAGTAGTACTGTGGTGGAGTTGTTGCAAATGAAGGGAGAATATCTGCTTCAAAAACATCTCCTTCAAAAACATCTCCTTCCAAAGCACAGAATTCTCTGTTCAAGTCCTGACCCTTTCAGGTTCTCTCATGTGCAGTGATGACCCAAAGGGAACAGGCCTGGCTCACTGTGCTTCAAAATAGCCAAATTTGATCAAATTAGGAGTGTTATAAACCCCTGCAATAACAGCTCTGGGGTAGCTTTACAATAATCAGAAAGTTAGCCTTAACTGCAGTGATTATTGTGAGAGATTAGACCCTTCTTCCTTATAACTTCATTTGATTACTGATTCTTTGGCACTTCAGAAAGTCAGTTTTTCCCATTCTGCTACGCTGAGTGACCCCTCATGGCACATCCTCTGCCATTTTGAGGACAATATTTCAGGTAACACACGAAAAGGGGCAGGAGGAAGAGGAGAACGAGGAGGAAAAGAAGAAAGGAATTAAAGAAGTCTGAGCTCGTTCTGTTTCCTCCACCTTCTTCCCGGTGGGATGTGACTCCAGCTCCACACTGGACTCACCCTAAACTTTCAGGAGGGGGTTTTATAATATAGAACAAGTGATTAAAGCAGTTTGTCCTCTTACCTGCAGTTTACAACTCTGTGCAGGTACTCCAGGCAGGCGGGCGTGGGGCTTTGCCGACCTTATGGCATCAATAACTTCCTGGGAGAAACTGGGAAGGGAAAGTGAGGGCTCAAGGTTAGAGAAACACAAACCCACGTTTGCTTTGGCTCCTGGTCTGCCAACTGCTGCAAACAGCCACAGTTCCCCTCCTGCTCCTCTGAAGAGCATTGTGTTCAAAACCCGAGCAAGGGGAACAGATGAGTGCCCTTACACTCAAAAATACAGATATTTCAGAGCTCAGTCTAAAAGTTGGCAGGAACATAAAAGACTGACCATGAAATAAAGAGCAGATAATGCCAAGACTTGTTATTGGGCTCTGCTCTTGCACAACTGGATGAGGTAATCCCAGGGAAATGAGTATTTTTCATGGCCAACATTAAAAGACAGTTTCTCTTTCAGCCTGCTTGGAGCTGAGACAGAAGATCCCACACTAGAAGGCCCATTTGTTAACTGAAATCCTCGAGTTAAAAACCCCCAAATCCAAGAAAATTACACATTTCAGAGGTTTGCATTTCTAAGGCTTTTCAGGTGTTTTGTCCTCCTGACTGCTTCCCATCAGCAAGGAATTATCTTTTGCTCTTCCTTACCAAGCAGAATCCTGGATAATTGAATGGGATCCTTCAGGACTGGTATTTTCAGGGCAAACCAGAGCAGACAGACCAGAATCTGTGTGGTGAAACCAGTTTCTTTCCCATCACCAATGACCAAAATCTTAGATATTAAATGAGCCTGGGTAATTCCTGTTCAGCTGTGACTCAGCAGGATTGGATTCATTTATATTTGATAGTCAGTGCAAAAACCCCTCCTTGGACACTGAACACTCCCTGGGAATGTCAGTATTGGTGAAGTTACTCTGGAACAATCTGGCCCAGGGAGGACTTTGAGCTGGATTTCCCCTCTTGCCTCTCAGTGAGGAAAGGCTTTCAAACATCCCTTTGTGTGCAGGTTGTTTATTGTTGTTTCCCCTCCTCACTGCTTGTCCCAGCACATAAATAAGGCTTCAGTTCCACTGATGGCTGAACCTTTTCTCTTCCAGAACATCCCAGACTTTGGGCACAAGTATTACCTGCAGTTCAGCACAGAAGACTACAGGACTGGGGTGAGTTTGGGGTCCTCTGTGTTCCCTCTGACCATGGGCATGGAATGAACTTCAGCAGCTCCAAAACAGGGACATTTATGAGCTCAGGAAAGGGATCTTTCCCAATGGAAAGACCTTCGTGCTCCTCCCTGCCTGCCTGTCAGGGGCTTTGCCCCGAGGAGCACCTGAGAGATCCTCAGCCCTCAATCCTGAAGGATTTTGAGTCACCTCAGGCAACCAAAGGCCTGAGTGAAACTTCCCAGTGGCCCAAGCTCAGTGACAGTGTGACAGCCTGGTCCTCGTTATCCCACTGGGGACATTATCCCTCTGTGCTCTTTAGCCCACTGTGCTCATTATCCCACTGCCCCTCCTGCTGTCCACACCCCAGAAAGGGAATAATGAGCTGGCAGCTGCATGTTCTTCTCAATTCTAACCCCCTCCACTCTCCCTGTCACACTTGTCACCAGCAATTTCACTGCCCTCTTCCTTCATAGTCTGTGGAATTCAGACTATTCTCAGAACTTAATATGAAGCTTTAGATTATTTTCGTTTCAAGGCTGAAGTATAATACAGTGAAAGTCCCTGTTATCAATTAATGTTATTTCTTAAAACTCTCAAACACATTTCCAAGATGACTTAGTGCATTAATCAAAAACTTCTGTTAACTCCCTTCAACCTCGTGGTTTTAAAACATTTACTTTTCTGGGGAAAAAAATTATATCCTTCTGAAGACTTTCCTGACCCTTGACCAGCTTCACCCAAGGAATGAGTTGCTGGTAACTAAAATCTTGATCAAAGGTAAGAGTTTTAAATTCTCCCTTGACAGGAAAACACCGGGAGCTGCCTGGCCACGGTGTTGTATCCAAGGAAAAAGTCTCCTCCTGTTGTCAGCATCAAGTGCTCACACACCAAAGACCAGAATGAAATCCAGGAAGAGGACAACAGACTCTACCAAAGAATCAGGCAGCAAACCAAACCAATAACTGGGAGCAATATTCCAGGTATATTCCCCCAGCCAATCAGCTGTATTTGGTTTATCTCCCAGGGCACTGTGAAGAACACAAGCAAACACATGCACTGGAAGGAGACACGTTATTTACAGCAGCACCCTGAAACCACAGTGCTGTCAAAACATTCCCCCTTCCAGGGATCCTCTGGGAGAACAAAACCCCCTTGCATTTAACACTGGCATCAGCACCACCTTCTGAAGGTGGTTTGGGTTTAAAAGCACCATTTTAAATTCGAGAAAATGCAGAATGCCCTCCAGGAATAACAAGAGCCCCAAGCCACAACCTCCTCAGCTGTTGCTGGAAATTCACTGGGCATGACTAACAGAACTTTTCCATCCTGGAAAAATTCCATCTTTTCCTCCCAGCTAGGTAAAGACTTCCATTATCCTGGATTTTGAGGTTCTTACCCCACTGTGGGACCCCGTGAATATTGTCTTTTGGCAATGTCAGTCCTGCCACACTTTCCTACTTTCCTGGGGTGCAGCTTTAGCATTGTTCTGCTCCCTTTTCCCTGTGACACGTCCGAGGGAAGAGTCTCATCCCAAGCCCAGCCTGTGCCAGGCCAAAGTGCTCTGTGGTTCATCATTTTTCAGCTGAACAGCCAGAATTGATATTGTTTGTGTTTCTGTGTGCCCTGCAGACAGCTATGGCAACATTGAGCCTGCCCTGGAGCCAGCCTGGGCTCTGGCTGTCGCTGGCAGCAGCTCCATCATGTGGGAAAAGTCCACAGAGGACGTGGGATACTTCCTGGCACAAGTGAAGTCGGTGAAGCAGTGGGTGAGTGGAGCAGGGAGCAGAACCCCCCAGCTCTCACTGCTGCCATGGGTGTGATGCCCCAAACCCCAGGGCCTCCCCTTCTCCAGCACCTCCACCTCTGGACAGGCACTTTGTCCAGGTGTTGGTGGGAAAACTTTACTCATTTGGACAAAATTTGGCTTTCCTTGTTGCATGAGTGGCTTCTGCAGGTCCTGCAGTTCCTCAGCCCCACACCAGGTCACTCCCACACCCTCTGACCCTTTGTGAGGCTCACAGGCATCATCAGGCTCAGACCTGGAACAAACACCTGCCTGGGGAGCAGGTCTGACCCCCCAGCACATCAAACAGCAGCTCCCAAAGCTCTGTGTCCCCCAAAACACCCAGCTGGGGAGCAGGTCTGACCCCCCAGCACATCAAACAGCAGCTCCCAAAGCTCTGTGTCCCTGTGATCCACAGGCAGGACCCAGTTTTTGCTCCATTCAGCACAAGATTTCTCTGAAGCAGAGATTAACAGGCAATATTCTCAAATCCATCAGAGGGGGAAATTCAATTAATTAGCACCTGGGCCAGCCTGGTTTCATGGCAGAGAGTGGGGCTGCAGAGCCACACAGCAGCCAGAGCCACACAGCAGCCATTGCCTTCAACAATTCCATGCAGGAAGTGCTCCTAATTCCCCGTCTTTCCATGATCAAAACCCACCTCACTCCAGCCAGCAACCACAGTCCCTAAGCAAGCTCAGTGCAGCCAAGTAAATCAAAGCAGAAGCTAAACTTCAACAATATAAACCTGTGTTCCTGATAATCCTTCTCTTTTTCTCCATACCCAGATGAGGAAAGATGATTTTATTGAGTTCGACTACACTGTCCTGCTCCACGAAATGCCAACACAGGTAAGAAACAGGGGTGTAATCCCTCCTGCCCCCAGGAGATGGGCAGTACAAAGGTGATGAGTATACACCTATAAAATCAGTATTTCTCTATAAAAGAGGTGTTTTTCAATCCCTCCTGCAGGAGATGATTTCCTGCCACATGCGCCTCACGTGGCTCCCTGGGCGGCCTCTGAAAGTGAAACACTTCTGTGCCTCCCAGACCCCCGGGCTGAAGGAGGGATCTGGGCTGGGATCGGGATCAGCTGCTGGCCTTTCAGAGGAAAGGGGGGACAGCTTCTGAGGGAGAGTGTCAGAATCCCTGGATTCAGGGAGAAAATCCTCGTGCTACCAGAGCTGGAGCCGGCATCGGGTTTCCACACAAGTCAGTGATCGGGATGCTTTCACTACTCTGTTCTGTGCCAAAATTATTTCCTGTCACTTCTCAAACTGCAAGACTCAACTTCTAGAGAGTTCTACCTAAAGCCTTTGCTACTGCACATATACACAGATGAACATACACAGGTTGATTTTATGTCACTAATTAACTGTTACGTAGAGTTTGTAAACAAAGTTAATATATTTGGGCAAAAAATCTCCAGGAAAGTATTAATCTGTCAGTAAGAAATATCTGCCTACTAATTTTTTGGGTCATTTTTCGGGATGGAATCATGCTGGTTTTCAACTCACCTCTCCAATAAACCAAATACCATCACTCAGGGGCGAGGCTGGGTTTTCTTTCACTGTGCTGCTGTTGGACCCCAAATTTCCACCTTCTCTGTAAACTCTGAACCAAAACAGACCTGCAGAGCCAGGAAGGCTCCAGATGGATGAACTCCCACATTTGAGATGGGCAGGACACCCCTCAAACAGCTCTTCTTGGTTCCTGCCCTGTCCTGTTCCCATCCTGAACACCACAAAGTTGTGGGTTTGTCCTTTGCCTCCAAATCCTCCAGCTGGGTTCCCAGAAGATCCACCACCATCCCACCTCTGCTCTCTGAGGTTGTGCCAAACTGTCTCAAATTCACCTTTTTTCTCCCCATTTGCCAGATTTCTGCCAGGATAGACTAAATCCTTACCAAGGACACCCCATTCCTGAGGGAAACAGGTGCTGGGGTGGCTGTTCTCTGGAGTTTGTGGTGGTTTTCATTATCCTGGATCTGTAATCAGTAACAATGATTCCAGGATTTCACATGACAGTTTTCCCTGCTTGTATTTAAGCTGGGTGATGCCAGCCCCCCGAATTCCAGTGTTTTACACACACAGATTGTTAAACCTGGTTTCCTGACTGAAGCTTTTTCTCTCAGCACACACCAGGCACCACAATAAATTCAGGGAACGACATCCCACGTGCTCCTGGTGTTTTCTTCTGTGCTGGTAGAACATTTCTCCTCATCAAAAGTATGAAATCAGAGCTGAGAATTTCAACATTTCTTAAAGAAGCTGGTGATTAAAATAGTTTTTGAAACATAAACAAGAAAATGGGATGGATTTTGCACTTTGGGGCTCTACTTTAGTGTCCTTACCTTGTTTTTGCCACTGCTCTGCAGACCCAAACCAGAGGATTGGGTACTTCCAAGTCACCAGGTCAGTGTAACTCCCAACTGCTCCACAGGAACTTCTGGAGAAGCAGCAAAGCTGTTGGAATTCTAAGGCAGCTGCTTTTAGGCCAAGATTTCAGCCTAAAACCTAAAATCATACAGCAAAATTCTTGGGGTTTTGGTTTTCTCCAGATTTGTGGAGCACCAGCACATCTGGCAGCACCCACGAGCCAGGAATTCACATCACAGTGGCCTGAGCAGAGCAGGAAAACCATAAAAGTAAATAAAATCCCAACCACCCCGTTCCCTTCCTGTTTCCACACTGCTTTCATAAGACAACCCTGAATTTTGGTAAAAGGTTGTTCAAGAAAATCTCCCCATGTCTGAGGACCTGCAGGGCTTTTCTGGAAATCAATTCCAGCTGAGCAGTTGACAACAACAAAGCTGTGGATGGGGGGGAATTGGGGATTTGTCCCAAAGAAACACACAGGGATACACCACATGGATACACCACCCCAGCCCTGTTAGCACCTCCACGTGCTCACAAATCCGTTCCCAAGGTCAAAATAACTCCTTTTCCCTGTCTTCCCGTGAGGGCTGTGGAGAAGCCTGGCTGCTGCACTCCTGGCTGTGTCTGGGAATCATCCTGTGCCAGGAATGTCGCTGGGTTTGAACTGGAACTTCATCCCCCCTTTACTGGAAGTCTGTTAAGCTGAGGAGGTCAGGAAGGGAGAGAGACACTTCAACATGGACCTTCTGGGAGTCATTAAAAATACAGAATTATGGGGATATCTCCTCCTTCCCATGGAACTCCATGTTTTGTCTCTGCAATGAGTCAGCAAGATTTCAGTCAACTGATTCCTGCGCTGAGCATCGGCTGGACACGCCCTCGGGATTGGGAGATTCTGGGAAGAGAAAGCTCTGGTTTGGTTTTCTAACAGAGAGCCAAAGTCAAGCCCACACAATGAATGCACATCACAAGCCCATAGAGGAATTCCAGGTTGTTCCCAGCTTTGGGAAGAGTTAACTCCCACCAACACCCTCCTCAACTTTGTTGTGCCACCAGTGAAAAGCAGATTTGGTGCCAGGGCAGTGGCACTGAGCAATGGCTTTGCCCAGTGGGTGGAGACTTTGAGGGATCCTGTGCCATTTCTGGAGGATTTGGAGGGAAAAGTGGCATTTTTCCCTGGAGAGAAGCTGGGAGCACCCTGTGAGAAGTGCTCAGTGTGGGCTGACAGCTCACTCCTTGTGCCTGTCCAGCAGCTCCTACCTGACTCTCCTGCCTCAACATTTTCAAACTTCCCAAACCTAATTACACAATAATGATGTATCAAGTAAAAAATACAATTATTTTAATAGAACTTAATTAAGACGAATTTCAAGACCAATTATCAGCCGTGTTTTAACATCTATTTTGTTAAGGACAGCATTTACACGTGAACAATTCCGCTGTGATCCTCTGGTGGCTCCTGAGAATTCCACAGAGGAAGGGGATGATGACAAAATTCCAAGTCCAAATCCCACTGCCAGCCTGCCTTCCCCAGCCAGCCTTCTCTGCTTCCACGGCTTGGAAAACTGAGCTGCTGGAGGAGATTGGGAAAAACTGTTCAAAGGACTCCAGAGGAGTCAGATCAGCTCTTGGCTTTGCCCTTTTTGGCAGGAAGTCGCCCCGTTGCTTCCAGGTATTTGTTGATTATTTCTTCCTGAGTGCTGGGTGAACACGGGTGGTATCTGGAGTATTCCATGGTATATTCCCCCTTTCCCTGTAAAATTGGGAAAAGAACATCCAGGTGAGGATGGTACATGTGTAACTGTGCTGAACAGCAGGTCACTCCCTTGTCTGTGAAACAGCATCCAAGAATCCTTCACAATCCCACACAAACAAAACCCAAAGCATGGAACAATTTTTTTTGAGCAGGAACGACCCAGCTCTGGGTTTGTTTTTTATCTCCTTCCCTGCTGCAAGTGCTGTGGATGCAATGATGCAAAGTAGCCCAAATTTACAGAAATAAACACGTTTAAGCAAAGAGGACATGGAGGACTCACCTCTGTGCAGGACCTCAGCTCGGTGGCATATCCAAACATATCGTTCAGTGGCACCTGAAATCCCAACACAGGCTTGTAAAAACAAAACACTTTTTCTATCAGCTTTGAGTCACCACCTAATTGATCCCAATTCTGACACAAAGAGTCAGTGCTGCCTGTAAAAAGCTCAGATTGAATGATCTGGTGTTGTAAAGCACCTATTTTAACTAATTTATACTTGCAACATGTTTTCAGCAGGAAACTTCAAAAACCTGAGAGTCTGAATGCACCAGGAACTGGAGCATCCTGGATTCAGGGCTGTGTCATCCAGAGATCACAAGGTTTGAGGTAACTCCAGACTGGAGCTCTGATTAAATTCCTCAGTTTCAGAAGCAGAAGGGATGCAGGGCAGCCCAAAGCCAAAGCTTTGCCGAGATGATTTTCCCTCCCACCACCCAACAGGAAAACACACGTTTTCAGAAGGGACATAAGAAAGGGAACACGGACAATGAGTCAACCTGGCTCCAAGTTTATCCACACAAACTAAGGAAAACAGTGATGGAGTCAAAAGGCAACAGGAGGGAAGGAAAAGCCGGGAAGAGCACAAACCTCAGCATAGAGGGTGAAGTAGCCCTCTGCCCCGTCCTGCCCCGTGATGACCCCGTGGCGCCGGTTGATCCCAGCTATCACAGCTCCCTGGAATTCCGTGGGAGCCATCACCTCCACAGCCATGATGGGCTCGATGATTCGCACCGTGGCGTTTTCCATGGCTGGGAAAAACAGAGGGAGAAACAATCCAGCACCACAAGCCTGGGGGGAAGTTCAGATACTCCCATGCACGGCAACAAATGGGTCATGGTAATGCCAAGGGTTTCCTACGACAGCGAGGGAAAACAAGCAGCTCCATGGAATTCCAGCTCCCCAGCTTGTTACTCCTGACACCATAATCACAGAGTCATTAAGGTTGGAAAAGACCTCCAAGGTCATCAAATCCAACCTCTGACCTTAAACCATGTTGTGAAGTGCCACATCCAGGGGCAATTCCAGGGATTGTGACTCCACCAATTCCCTGTCCCAGTGCTTCACCACTCCTCCAGTGAAGACATTTTTCCTAAAAAAGGCACAGTTTGACCAAATGTTCTCTTCCTACCCTGTAAGGATGGTGCTGCTGATGTTTCTGTATTGTATTCCAGGAAAACAGGATCTCCTTCACAGAACCACAAGAACTGTTGTGCCTCCCTCAAAAATTCTATAAACTCTTACACTGTGCTCTACACAAGTGGCCAGACTTTGGATGGATGGATGGATGGATGGATGGATGGGTGGGTGGATGCATGGATGGATGGATACCCCAAATAACAAAAGAACCTACAGAAGTGAGGCTGTTAAATTCAGCCCCAGCAATAACAGCCAGGACACATCCAAGCAAGGAGCTCCTACCTTGTTTTAGGGCTCCTTCTCCTGCCCTGATGAAGGAGATCTCGTTGGAGTCCACCATGTGATGGGCACCATCCTCCAGGACGAACCTGATCCCGGAGATCTTGTGCCCGGACACCAGACCCTTCTCACAGGCATCTCGGAATCCCTGGAACAACAGCTTGAGTCAGTACTTTTTTAAACTAAAAACCAAGGAACAAGGAAAACTGCCCTCAGGATTTGGCTTTGTAAGGGACTGTATGGCCAAAACCCCAAAGAATGCTCTGTGTGGAAAGAGCTCCTGCCTGGAGAACAGGATTCCTTTAAGGTTGTGTGTTTTCTTCAGGATTTTGCAAAAGTCTTCAAGTGTTGCATCATAGAATAATGAAGGAATTATTCTGGGTTATCATAGGAATTCCAAGATGATGGCAGGCTAATTAAAATAGTCTGTGATAAATCTTACAGAGAGACAGTCACAGAGATGAAAAAGGAATTCAGAGATGAACTGGGAATTCAGGCAGGAAATGCAGCTTAATTGCAGCTTCCCACATAATTGGCCTCAGAGAAGTCACAGAAAAAGTTCCACTTTTGGGGTTAGAGATGAGAATTGTGGGGCCACAACCAAAAGCAGAACGGCCAGTAAGAAGCAGATTGAGCAGGAGGCTTGTTGGATTGTGAGCAAGGAGAGGAGGCACTGCCAGGGAAACAGAGCCAGCACACACCACCAAAGCAAACAGAGCAGCTTCTAAAGACAGTGGAAAACCCAGGAATGTGAGATATGAAGTAAAACCACACAAATGATTCTGTTTCCACTGAAGAAACAGGAAAAGCCCCCTTGCCTG